ACCCTAACTCTACCACACTCACCTCACCAACTCTCACACTCATCTCCCTAACCCTGTCACGCTCCCGCAGGACCGCCATCAGTGGGTGACACTTCATTTATCAGCCACTATCCTCTTACCTTTAAGTTGCAGGTGGGTGGCTGGGGATGATGGGAGTGGGTGCCTCTGGTGTCCTCTGCTCTCCCTCTCCTCCGCTCTTCCTCTGCTCTCTCTCTCCCCCCGCGCGGAGTAAGCTGGGAGGAAGTGACCAGCCGTCACTTCCTCCCAGCATCACTTGCGCTGTAGCCGCAATTTTTTTTAAAGGGGCCCGGTCACGCAATTACACGGCCACTGCGCTGACCGGGCCCCTGAAGATATAGGGCCCATCAGGTGGCCCTAAATGTTTGGGCCACCTGATGGGCCCCGGTGCAGATGCACCTGCTGCAGTTTCGCCGCTCCACGTGGGGCCCGGGCGGCCGGGCCCCCCAGTGCCGGCAGGCCTGTGACAACCGTCATGGTTGTCACCCCCTGATGGCGGCCCTGAGTATTTATATATGTCTGTGTGTATGTCAGTATGTATGTCTGTGTGTGTGTATGTCAGTATGTATGTCTGTGTGTGTGTATGTCAGTATGCATGTATGTCAGTATGTCTGTCTGTGTGTGTATGTCAGTATGTATATATGTCTGTGTGTATGTCAGTATGTATGTATGTCTATGTGTGTGTATGTCAGTATGTATGTATGTCTGTGTGTGTATGTCAGTATGCATGTATGTCAGTATGTCTGTCTGTGTGTGTAAGTCAGTATGTATATATGTCTGTGTATGTCAGTATGCATGTATGTCTGTGTGTGTATGTCAGTATGTATATATGTCTGTATGTATGTCTGTTTGTCAGTATGTATGTCTGTGTATGTGTCTATCTGTATGTGGGTGTGTATGTCAGTATGTATATATGTCTGTATGTATGTCTGTGTATGTGTGTGTTTGTGTGTATGTCAGTATGTGTGTGTGTGTATGTATGTATATATCTATCAGTATGTATGTCAATATGCATGTATGTCTGTGTGTGTGTGTATGTCAGTATGTTTGTATGTATCTGTGTATGTCTCTATCTATCTCTGTGTATGTATGTGTATGTGTCTATGTGTGTGTGTGTGTGTGTGTGTGTGTGTGTGTGTGTGTGTGTGTATGTCAGTATGTATATATGTCTGTATGTATGTCTGTTTGTCAGTATGTATGTCTGTGTATGTGTCTATCTGTATGTGGGTGTGTATGTCAGTATGTATATATGTCTGTATGTATGTCTGTGTATGTGTGTGTGTATGTGTATGTCAGTATGTGTGTGTGTGTGTATGTATGTATATATCTATCAGTATGTATGTCAATATGCATGTATGTCTGTGTGTGTGTGTATGTCAGTATGTTTGTATGTATCTGTGTATGTCTCTATCTATCTCTGTGTGTGTGTGTATGTCTGTCTGTATGTATGTATATCAGTATGTATGTGTATGTATGCCATTATGTATGTATGTCAGTATGTATTTATGTGTATGTATGTATGTCTGTATGTCAGTTTGGAAGTATGTCTGTTTGTCAGTATGTATGTATGTCTGTATGTATGTGTGTGTGTCAGTATGTGAGTATGTATGTACGTCAGTGTGTGTTTCTGTATGTCAGTATGTGTGTGTGTGTGTGTATCTGTATCTGTGTATGTGTCTATATGTGTGTATGTCTGTTTCAGTATTTGTGTCTTAGTATGTGTGTATCTTTCTGTGTGTGTGTCTGTGTCTGTGTGTGTGTATTCCTGTGGGCGGGATTTGGAGGTGGGGCTTGGAGGCGGACACCCGGGGGCCCAGACCTTGAGCTGTGTTAGGGGCCCCACAATTTCTGATGGTGGCCCTGTAGTCACGCACCACCCCTTCTCCCAGCCATACACCCGGTCACTTTCTCCTAACCCTGTCGAAGCACGGCCTAACTCTCTCACACTTACCACCCTCTCAAGTCACTTAATATCCCTCACTCTGCTGCAATCCCTGTTACACTCACTCCCAATCTCTGTCACACTCATCCCCCCAACTCTCACTCTCACGCTCTAACTCTAAGTTCACCAGATATATGTAAATCCGAATTTTGAAAGAGACTTTAAAAAAATGTTCACTTATAAAAAAACAACAAAAAGGACAAAAATTATTTCCGTGGACATCTCTACTGACATCTGTTTGACAAAGGACAGTAATGGCAAAACATTGACATTGTAGCCATTGTACACTGTACTTTACCTTGATGTTAAGTCAGCCTATGTATCATGGCAGATGTACTCCATAGTAGCTGCCATTTCAAAATTAAGCTAGCTCTTATAATAACAGATCATGTGTTTCTTGTACATTCTTGGTTATTTTGTCATTTCTTGTATATTTATTTTTTGTTATTTTTAGCTTAAAAGTTCAATACATTATCTATATAATGCATTAGAGTAAAGGTGATACATCCTACCTTTTTTTGTAGGTCTAGGGGATGGCTGCATTTGCTCTCGTCCTGCCATCTCCTAGCCTTTCCCATTACCTCAGTCTTTGTACATACACAATTCTAAAATACCCATAGGTTGCAGCTTCACTTACCGCCCTGTATAGCACCAAGCGCTGATCCTAACCCCCTTTTTTTTTTTGACAATTCTAAAATAGTATGCCTTTCATAATCTACAGCTCCAGATCCGTAAATGTAACATATTCTTCCTCACCTTGCGGTCAGCGGCCGTGCATTTGCATGACTAACACTTGCGGCATGTTAATGGACACCGGAGCTGCGATACACGGCTAATTATACCCCCATGTCCACTCACATGATTGACGACGTCGGCGTGCATGTGATGTCACACACGCACCGATTGCGCACATTTTGGGGTCAAAGCGCGAACCTGTTACTAACATTTAACATTTCGCCAGGTATTTAAACCTAAAATTAAAGCAGGTATTTAAACCTAAAATTACCTTTCCTCATTGCCCTGTCGTGGTTTCGCTAGTGGTTGTCCGAGAGCGCGTTCCTGATTCAAGTTTCTTCTGGTTTTTGACTTTGGCTTTGATTTTGACTTCCCTGTATTTCTGGTATCCCTGACCTCTGGCTTTCCTTTATCGTTGTGTCCCTATCTGTGTCCCCTGACCTCAACTAGCATCCTGACTACTCTTTGGTACATTAGTCCGGCCATTCTAAGGCCTGGTAATACGTTACCTATTAGTCATCTGTGTAACACAATTCTACGTGCTGGATCAACTAGTAATCCTGACAGCAAACTACTTGACCCAGAAAATGATACATGGTTGTCAAATTTGTTAGTATATCATATTCTGCTCACATTTGTTTGCAATTGTTATATTCATTATTTTGTATTCCTTTCTTTACATTCATGTATGATGTGAGCTTTATATAAATCATGATGTGTAAATCTAAATTTATTTACAGTTTACTTATTACTTTCATTCATCTTAATAGTTCACATTTTGTTTCTATCTTTGTGTATTCAATATCATATCTTGGAGGAGGTTTTTCACCTGTTAGCTTTTGTAAATTACACTATATTAACAAAAGTACATGTCACAGAACACTGCTAATTTTTTAAAATTTATTTTGATATCCTGCTTTCAAAAAGATAAATAGCATTCACGATGAAGATCTCAATTAAATTAAAACTAACATTTAAAAACCTGTCCATGATATTGCATTGTTCCCTGTGGTGCATAGTCAACTTTTAATTAGAAACATTACTCACAGCTTGAAATTATTTTAATTTGTTTATACAAAAAAAATTATCATAAGAAAGCAATTGGGATATATGCTTGATAGCTGTTTCAGGTCTTAAAAACTTTACCATGTTATTGAATTAAAAATTTATATACATTCTCTTTAACAATGTTATCTTTTATTTGCATTTGCATTCAAATCCCATCCTTGGTTTTTTTCCGCAGTCATAGTGTATTTTGTAGCATTTTAAAGATATTTACCAATCTTCAAAGAGTCACCGATATGGCTGTTTATAGTAACATTTTCAGAATTTTCAATATCACTCTATTGGCACCAATTATTATTATTTTTTTTTTTTATCATTCTTTGTTTTTGCTGGGCTTAAGGTTACAAACAAACTTACTTCGCCACGGCAGCTGTAGCAAACAATGCAGTGGCAATCATTGACATGGCATATCAAACAGCACATTGTTAAGTTTTAGAGAAAACAGGTTAGGAACATTATTAGGAAACATTTCTTGTGGAGCATTCTCAAAAATTATAAGGCACACTCAGTAAGAGTAGGCCCCCAGGGAGGTCCGAGGTAAAGAGTGGTATAGCAATGTCATGGAGTTATATTCAAACTAATAGGCAGTGGGTCTGAAAATACATTTTGCATGGCATCTTAAGAGGCATCTTATGAAAATAATATTAAAATAAACAGGCTAACCCAACATGCTTCTGCTTAATTAATACTACCCCATATTATTATCATGCATTTGGGCTAGTCCTTGCATGGGGATGGAGGACGGTGTGAACATATTTCGGGTAAACATCCATGTCTACGATTAAGATAGAAACTGTTCTAATAGGCATGGGTCATTTTAGGCACGAAAACTGTGCAATGGATAGCATATGATCTGGATAATAGGCTAGGTCTACGCTAGGAAGATTACCACTAAAGCTAAAATCACTGCCTCACCACTGCTCCTTGTACATTGAAAGGTAAAAGACATAAGAACATGGCATACAGAAGAATAAAATAAATAAAAGGTTCAAATCAGATGAGATGGTGGCTATCTAAAACTTAAGAAGCTCAAATATTAGGCAGCAGGCCTATTCCTAGCATAGAGTCACCAGTCAGCCGATTCCCAGGGTCGGGAAGAGCCAGGATTGTGCTCAAGGGCAGTAAAACATCCCCGGCAGAAGTGGTTGTTCAGGCTGGTGTCTCATTGCACCGTTGCCCGCCATGGGTATCCTGCGTTTCTGCATCTCAGCCAGGCTGTACGGGTGTCTGTGCCCAGGTGTCAATATAAGGGGCAGAGTCCGGATCTGTAGTGGAGCGGGACGTCGCAGTCCTCCAGGCTCAGGTACCACCATGTGGGGCGAATGAGCGTGTCGGGTTGCTTCTCCTTTCTGCTTTGTGTCCTCGGTGGTGTCTCATGTGGATTTTTAGCTTCTTGTGCAGCTTGGTCAGCCGCCGGAATGAGGCCTGTCCTGCAATTAAGACCTTCGGAGCGTTTCTCCGGGTTGGAGGCAGCATCTTGGGTAAGTGGCTGCTTGGCTGTTGTGCGGCAAATGGCTGTGTTCTGTACTCCAGCTTGCGCCAGAAATTGGCAAATAGCGCATCTAGCTTCTGTAAGATTTTGTGGTTTGAGTCTATGCGAGTGGGGAGACATGTGGCGTCCGCCATGATGGATGTCGTGCTGGGTAGTAGGCGTATTGTTGTGGCTTCACCCTGCACTCACTACAGTCCAGATTTGCCTCCTTGGGGTGGACCACGATCACCCCTGACGCTCCATGGGGGGAGCAACGGGGCTTGAGTCATCACTATGCAGCGCTGGACCGGGAGATCGGCCGCCTCCCCCGCCCGACACACATTAGGCCTCATGCTGTGAGGAGTGTGGCCAGCAGGCTCCAGGTGAGTCACAGACTGCAGCGTCAGTTCCCAGCCCAATTGTGGGTCAGGTAAGTCGAGGTTTTCGCCAGTTTCAGACTTAGTTGGGCTAAAAGTGACATTAATCACCCTGATTTCTGAGGAGCTCTTCTGAAGCACGTCTGTCCTCCATGCTAGTCAGGACCCGCCCCCGGCACCAATTCATTTAGCTAGTGTTGGGGTTTCAGAACAACATTTTTACTTGGCACAAGGACACTGCTTAAAGGAACACTAAAAGGCACCAAAATAAGTTTAGCTCAATTAAGCAGTTTTGGTGTAAAGATCATGCTCCTGAAGTCTCGCTGCTTAATTCTGCACAATTTAGGAGTTAAATCACTTTGTTTATGTATCCTCAGCCACACATCCCTGCATGTGACCTGTACTGTCAACCTACACATTTCCTGTAAAGAGAGATCTAATGTTTAAACTTCATTAGTTGCACAGTCTGTTTAATTTAGAATGTTTTACCTAGGTGTGAGGGGCCATAATCAGTGGTGGGAATCAGCCGGTTTGCACCAGTTTGTGCGAACCTGTTACTAACATTTAACATTTCGCCAAACAGTTTGCGAAGCTGGCCTCCACCTGGAGCGCAGGAATGACTTTTCAGACTGACAAGTGATTTCTGCACTCCCTCTGCCTGCGGTCAGCGTGCAGGCTCCATGAGGGAACCACACGCACACTAAGCTCTGTGTAGGAGCGCCGGGTGTCACGTGACTACCTGGCACTATGTGTGAAGGAGACAGAGCGTGCTGCTGGACATGGAGAGAGGGACAGGAATAATAGGGAGGCATAAAGAGAAGGGACAGGAATGGTAGGGAACATGGAGAGAAGGTCAATGAACAAGGAGGAGAGAAGACAGGAACAGTAGTGGAACATGGAGAGAAGAGCAAGGGGACATGGAGGGGAGGGGACAGGAATGATAGGAGGACATGGAGAGAAGGGCAGGGGGACATGGAGGGGAGGGGGGCAGGAATGGTAGGGAACATGGAAAGAAGAGGCAAGAGGACAGGAATGGTAGGGGAACATGGAGGGGAGGTCAAGAGGACATGGAGTGGAGGGGGACAGGGACAGTCATCATCCCCCCACACAGTTACCCTCACACACACACACATTGTCACCCTCACGGGAGGCAGAAAGATGGCACAGAGAGACTAAGGGCAGAAAGGCTAGTGGCAGAGATATTGAACAGAGGCTGGTGGCAGGGAGATGGCAACGGCAGGCTGTTTGAGGGCACATGGCAATAGCAGGCTTTTCGGAGGCACATGTAGCTCATTGGCATGATATACAAATATTATGAATTTACTGCTCTTTGGCATGATCTACCAAGTTTATGCTTTTAATGTTAATTGGCTGGATATACCGAGTTTATGCATTTATTGCTCACTGCCATGATATACAAGGTTTATGCATTACTACATTTTCTCATGGTATACAAGGTTTATGCTTTTAATGCACATTGGTTTGAAATACAAGGTTTGTACATTTAATGAATTAATAGAATTGCCCCCCAAGGTATATAAGTGTGACTGCGTAGATGTGTGTGCATGCGTGCGTGACTGAGTGACTGCTTGCATTACATATAAAAAGTCAGAACGGGTTACTAAACTTTTGGAATCCCACTACTGGCCATAATGGTTACCCTTGGGCTGAAGCCCCTGGTCTTTTTGCTATCTAGCATCAGCCCTGATGATGACTCTCAGTATTAAGTGGTGAATAATTAATTAACAATAACCGCATTTGAACCCAATATATATCTCTAATGCTATTAAAAACTTAAATTCTAAAACTATGGTTTAGAGTACCTTCTCATTGGCAGTTTTATAATCAACTTTTTAGGATTTATTCACTAAATACTGAATTCTGGTGAACTGAAAACCAAACTGAAAAATTTAGCACAGGATAGTTTAGTTGGTAGAAAATTACCCAATTCAGAGCTTTTTCAATTTCTTTGTTTATTATCAGTGCTTGGAGTTTTTGTTTTTATTTCACCTGAATTCAATGTCTAGATAAACTTGTTTAAGAACCAAAGAGAAAAAGCAGACAATTAAATATTAATTGACTGACAGAAACTCGCAAAAAAAGCAAGGGAATAATGTACACAGTGCTGGTTATTTATAAATTTGTAATATGTCATCTTCCTTGAAAAACTGTCCGACATGGACGTATCACATCATTGAAATAAATGTAAATATATGAGAACCATTTCATGGAGCACGACCTTCAGAATTTTTAATATGTTTTCCTTCACCCAGTTGATGTAAACAAGAAAATAAATCTTAAAATAAATTGCTCTAAATATATGTATGAAGAGATGCCCTTTTCACTGAAATGATGAAGTTTGTACTCACGCCAATGGTTTCCTTTGCTGAATACAAATGGCAAAAGCTGTAATTTTCTAAGTGCATAAGCAAGTGAACTTGAATTCACTGAGAAAATGCATTTTCTTCTGTGATTGCAAGCAAGTTTAGGGCATTCAAAAAAACATCACTGTTCCACAGCTATTTCATGAAAAAATATTATATTTCACATGGCTAATATTGGGGTCCAGTCACTGAACATTGAATTGACTGGGATTCAGAGAAACATTGCAAGTTTCAGATAAAACTAATTAACTTAGAAACCTCTCCAAATCTGTTATTTTGTGCGTATGTATTTAGTTCAGCTTAACCACCCTATCTGGGCACCTGGCTCTCTTAAAGGGACTCTTCAGTGCCAGGAAAACAAACCATTTTCCTGGCACTGCAGGTCCCCTTCTCCTCCCACCCCAATCCCAGGTTGCTGAAGGGGTTAAAACCCCTTCAGTGACTTACCTGTATCCAGCACCGATGTCCCTGGGCTCTGGTTCAGGGTCCGCCCACGCTCCTCCTCTGCCGACGTCATCCAGCGAGGGAGACCTAATGCGCAAGCGCGGCAACACGCATTAGACCTCCCCATAGGAAAGCATTTAAACATGCTTTCAATTCTTTCCTATTGGGATTTCAGGGACGCTGGAGGTCCTCACATAGCGTGAGGATGTCCAGAGACGCTATATGTGCTATAAACCAGGAAGTGCCCTCTAGTGACTGTCTAGTAGACAGCTACTAGAGGAGGAGTTAACCTTGCAATGTAAATATGGCACTAGTAGGCTTTTTGGAGGCACATGTAGCTCATGTGCCTCCAAAGATATTGCAGTTTATTGCAGTTTATATTGCAGTTTATGAAAACTGCAATATTTACAGTTGCACGGTTAAGGGTAGTGGGAGTTGGCACTCCAATGGGCAGAAGTGGTCTGGGTGCCTGGAGTGTCCCTTTAACTTGGATTATGCATCCATATGTTTTATGAATCACTTTAAAAACTTGACTTTAAAAATAAGAATTAAAAATCTCATCACTAACAAATGATAAAATACCACCATATGTGGCAGAATGTGTGCGTCATTACAGCGTAAGAACAAAACTGCTGATGGTACCCAATGCTGTAATGAAGGCAATACCCCAGTGTACCCCATGCTGTAGTATTCTAGAGAGTCAGTGATGATTATGGTTAGGGGGATTTAGGGTTAAAATTAGAAGGGCTTAGATTAATGGTATACTCTAAACACCAAACCCACTTTAGCTTAATGAAGCAGTTTATGTTTATAGATCATGTTCCTGCAGCCGCACTGCTCAATTCTCTGCCATTCAGAAGCTACATTACTTTTGTTTCTGTCTATGCAGCCCTAGACAAACCTGCCCTGGGTTTGAATCACACACCCTGCATGAAATTTTTTTTTAATATTCAGATCTGATCTCAGATCTGCTCAACATGTGTTTACTTTAGAAGATTTTGTATCCCACATCATGCTCCTGCTGGCTCTAGCAGAATATTAACAGAGCAAGATCTAAAAAATTCAATATTAAACAAACTGTGCAACAAAGGAAGTTTTTGGTGCTCATAGTGTCACATTATGGGCTATGTCAACTGTAACTAATGTAGTATATGCTGTAACTCCTTTCATTTCAGGACTACTATGCAATAAATGTTCTAGTTTGTTGCCACCTCGCCATCACTCACTGTATAGTGAATAAGACCCCATGTGGAAAATCTATTTTCATGGTAACTTCCTCTCTCTGTAAAACATTAGTTTAAAGTATTAAACTTAAATAAACTGTTTGTTCTTTCTCCTCTCTGGGTAAAGCATTTGCTTTCCTGAGATAAAGTGCTTTTATAACTGATTATAACTTAAAGACAAACACACTATTGGATCAAACACTATAAATCAGTGCTTGTAGACTAGTTTCTGTCTAATGCTGTTAAAAGTCAGACACAATGATTCATAGAGGTCATTTTCTCTGAAGAATAGTCTCACCTTGCAGCCTTCCTTTTGCTAAATAGATTATTTTTCCAGCAGAGAGACTCGGAACGGGATTACGTGTCCTAAAACCTTAACCATGAACTTTTGTGCAGGACTCTAGAAACTTTTCAAAAGCTTTGCAACTTAATTTGACATAATAACTAGCAGGGGAGTTATGAAGATGAGGAGACTTAGACACTATGAATCAGGAATAGACAATAAGTAGCTGTCCATCTGTTCTGGAACATGATGCTGATGCATGATCACCATGAGAGTTGTAGTCCTTAAAACATTGCATAGTGAATAAAAAAAAATGCATGTTTCCCCTGTTGCTACAGTGACAGTTTTACAAAGTTTGTAGTAGGGTAGGCCTCCCAACAGTCCTGATATTAAGAACCTGTCCCACCGTCCAGATTGTGGCCTTGATTAC